AAAAACAAACTGTTTTAGATATTACCATAAAAAATTATTACTATTTTTAATTTGCTGTACCTCTCAATTTCCAGGTCTATTTGTTTGAAATATACTCCTTTTTGTTTTATTTTAATTAGTATGGTGAATTTTTTCATACACTCATGATCCTGCGTCCATAGAACATAAGCCGAAAGTGCACGAACGTGACATGTCATTTGTGAAAAAATTAAACTATGAATTTTTTTATGCATTTTTTACACATTTTTGGATACTGCATACCGCATTTATTCAAAGAGAAACTTAATTTTCACTCAAAAAGTTCAGGCCTAAAAGGGATAAGTAACAAAAACAATAATTTTGTAAATGAATATGTATCCTTTAGGTGATATTGAATTTTTAGATAATCATTTTCTGCCCGAAAACAAAAATGACACGAATCCAGAGAAATTGTTCATTCTGTGGAACTGGAATGGAAGATACTGACAAAAGACAAAATTACTTGTTTCTCTGAACAATGTAATATCATGCAACTAAAAATATTAAATAAACAAAAATATAGGTAACAAAAACAACGATTTTGTAAACAAATACGCATCCTGCACGTGGCTCTGATTTTTGCGTATCTGAATAAAAACTGTTTTATATTTTGTAGGTATTTGAGATATACAAGGATTGTTTAATAACTACATAATAACAAAACTGAGTAGTCTGTTAATGAAAAAATTGAGTGGTGTGTGGAGTATGGCATTTTTATTTAAAAAGTTTAATTACAAACAAATCCAAAGCAAGGCAAGATTGAATATTAATAGAAGTTATATCAAATTTTAGGATTTATTAAATGTTTGGAAGAGGATAAAATATCAGTTGAAATGTTGATAATTGGTGGCAGAAAAATGGAACAGGTATTAAATATTTTATTTAATAAAGTAATTAATGAAGGAAAGATTCCTCAAGAATGGTACAACTCCGAAGTCATTCTACTGTTCCAGAAAGGAAACAAAGCATACATCGAGAATTACATTACCGACCAATATCCTTGCTATCACATCTGTATAAATTACTAACTAAAATCATAACCAAACCGCCTAACACATAAGCTCGATTTCTATCAACCTACCGAGCAGGGTGCATTCAGAAAATATTTTAGTATTATACCATAGACCACTTGCACATCGTAAGAACACCGATAGAAAAATGCACCGAGTTTAATGTTCCAATTCATGGACGTATAAATTTATACGTCCATGTTCCAATTCATATGACGTTTGTCGATTTCCATAAAGCATTAGATTCCATCGAATTATGGGCAGTGCTTGAATCTCTAGAAAATGCATATATAGAGTCAAAATACACTAACATAATTACAAACATATATGAAAATGCCACCATGCAGATAAAGCTGAACGAAAGCACAAAAACTAATCCCATAAGATTACAACGGGGAGTAAGACAAGGAGACACCATCTCTACGAAACTATTTACCCTTGCTCTGGAAGACATTTTTAAGAAACTATAATGGAACAACAAGGATATCAACGTCGACGGATCATACTTAAACCACTTCTTGAGATTAATATCCAAGAGCTAAATGATATGTTACAACAATTAAATGCAGTTTCAGGAGCGGTAGGCTTAAAAATTAATTACAGTAAAACAAAAATACTGAGCCGAGACCAGACAAATATAACAATACAAAATCATACCATAGAAAATGTTGAACATTATGTATATCTAGGTCACGTCATCAAACTGGGAAAACTAAATCAAGATGCTGAAATTAAAAGAACACAACTGGCATGGGGCGCTTTCGGCAAACTAGCATATATCTTGAAAAACACCTTCATTCCTGTAAACTTAAAGGAAAAGGTGTATAACACATGAATACAACCAGTTTGTACCTACGGCTTGAAAATAGTAGCCCTTACCAAATAATTTGCTAAAAAATTAAAAAACAATGCAAAGAGCAATGGGACGAATCATGCTTGGAATATCACTAAGAGACAAGATTAGAAACACCGAGATAAGACGTAGAACGAAGATTAGGGATATGATACAGGTGGATAAGGAGAATTCTAGAATGGAGACCAAGGACGACAACAAGAAGCATGGGAAGACCTAAAAAAAAATGGGTAGATGACATAAGAGCAGTGGCAGGCAAACAGTGGATTAGATTGGCACAAGCTAGAGAAAGATGGGAGCAATTGTGAGAAACCTACATTCAGAAGTGGATGGAAAATGGTTGACAAAGAGAGTTTAAATCAAAAATTGAATATGTATCATACGAAAAGGTTGTAAAAAAGTCAGTAAACTTTTTAGGATAACAAATTGACTTAACACTTCTTCATTTTTCCACATATTATCTTGAATATCCCGTAAAGTATAATATCCCCGATAAACAGAAAAACAAGATAACTTTGTATCAAATATTGTTTATGAGCATAGTAATAAAAATTTTAGTAGCATGTAAAAATAAAAATTTTTGATAAAAACTTACAATACTGCTAAATTTACATTACTAAAAATTATAGTATGAAAAACCAAAACACTGTTTGATTCTATAAATTTATTATGCTCAAAGATTAAATTCCTCAGGAGTTTTGTATGATTATACGATTATACATATGAAGTTTGTTATGCCATGTCTCCTTCTATACAACTGCTAAGATTATACCACACATTCTCAATTACATTACTCAAAGTGTACTTTGTGGAGCCTTGGTACTCTGCAAAGCTTTTGCTTATAACTATGTGCATAGTTATCGCCACATTCCCGCCAACGCTCCGTACACACGTACTCCCACCGTTGAGTTCCACTTCTATCGATGCGCGATAGGGATGGAAGGCCTAACACAGTTTAAAACAAGAATCACCGCACGAGAGAATCGGGTTCTATCAGAATGTTGATCTGTGGAACATTTTAGTGGTTCTAGGGTGTTAACCGAAGACCAACCGCTTCTGCTAGAGTGTTGATCTAGTGGCAGCTCCTTATTGGTCTTAGAGTGTTGATCTGAGACATACCTGTTCCGTGACTAAGTCTTCATTAGTCACTTCCTTATGAGGGACGCTAAGAAACGAGTTTGTATAGTTTCTAATACATCAGAATCAGAAACTATTTTATAAAGTGGAAACTTTTCAGTGTAGTACTAGTAAACAGATCAGATTGAGACCGGAATCCAAAGAGATTCTGCTTAGTTAGGTTAGACATTACTATTCCAAGAAATTCTTGTCACTGAATTTATATCAAGTATCTTTTAAAATGATTTGCATATATCTACTCTTTGTTGGTGGTCTGTAATAGATAAGGAAGGTAATCTAAAGACCGATACTGACGGAATATTGGAAACATGGAAACTACTGTGGCGAGCTATATAAAAATAACGAGGTACCAGCAGAAAACAAATGGCCCTCTGACTATCCTAGAAAACCTACTGTCTTACTCGCTGAAGTCAAAGATGCAATTAAAACGCTAAAGAGAAATAAATTCCAAGGCATTGATTCAATACCAGGTGAAATACTACAGTTACTAGGTAACAAAGGATTACATATCATCCGTTCTATCTGTGTCACTTTTTGGAATTCAGGAAAATGGCCATCTGATTGGTGTACCTCAATTTTACTACCAGATGTGAAAACTACCGCACACTGTCACTAATATCACATGCTAGTAAAATCTTGTTGTATATCATCAAAAACAGATTAAAAACCTATCTACATTACCAAATACCTCAGGAACAAGCGGGGTTTGTAAAGGTGCAGAAGTACAAGAGAACAAATTCTGAACCTGAGACAACTTATTGAAAAGTCTAAAGAATTTTAAGTACCTATGATTATATGCTTCGTTGACTACCAAAAGGCGTTTGATTGTGTAAGCTGGATAAATCTGTAGTCCATTTTAATAGAAATGGGCACACCAATGCACCTGGTGACACTTATTAAAAATATGTACCAGTCCAATATAGCAATAGTACGAATAGATCAGAAGTTTTTAAACCAATCCAAGACCGAGAGAGGTGTTGGACAAGGATGCGTGTTGTCACCTGTCAACAGCAGCTGGTACGAAAATCCTTAATTTAAGATTTGCTGATGACACTACACTTACAGCAGCAAATAAGCAAGAAATGTTTAATTTCCTGCTAAGAGTTGAGTGCGAAAGCAATAAAGTTCGTCTGAAAATCAATAAAGACAGACAAAAATAATGGTGGTCGACAGATTCCACCCTATCAAACTGACTAGCATGTGACTAGTTCTGTCTATCTCGGGTTTAGTATAATTAACGATGGTAACTGTGAAGCAGAAGTTCGGAGACGTATTGAACATAATGAGACTGGTAAATGCTCTTGTATTCACAATATTTCTCTTCGGGGCAGACGCTTGGACTCTTCGTGGACGCGAGCGCCAAAAAATTGATGCCTTTGAGATGTTGTGCTGAAGAAGAATGATGTGCATACCTTGGATAGCTCATAGGACAAACGTTTTCATTCTAACTCCAGATTTACAAAAGTCTGTCTACAATATGTCTGCAACATATGCAATTTTTCGGTCGCGTTGTTGGCAGAGGGGACGATAGTTTGAAGAGATTAATTGTTTTCTGGAAACGTTCCGGGAAGAAGAACAAGAGGACGATCACCAACTAGATGGTCCGACCAAATTCAGAATTCAGCTGGAAACTCATTCTGTGAAGCTCTCAAAGCAGCCGAAGATAGAGACCAATGGAGAAAAATTATTAGGAATGTAGGAAGAAATCACGATCCTCAATAATGGGAAAACGACAAAAGAAAGAGCCTCTTTCTTCTTTTTAACCTTCCTCTTCTATATATTTATTATTTTCTATAATTATTAAAAACTCCTTATACTCTTACAATCAACTTCCACCCAAATTTTACTAAAAACTCGATCTTATTTATTAAATAACCGATAAAATCTTTTCCTTATCGAAAAAATTACTTCCTTGTTGGATAAAGAACTATCAAAATTTATAGTTGTTCTGTTACGACGTTAGAAAGTACAAACGCGCCAAAATGCCTTTTCCCTTCGCAGTAGACAAAAAGTCGAAATTGTCATTGCTAAAAGGGCTCGATAAAACCGAAGAGCATTTAGAAGAATGTGTAGAGTGCATAAAAACTTGGTTCGAGTCGCAGCCTCATTTGCCCGAGTTACCATGTAAGTCTATTTGTATTGTATAGAAAAATATTATGTAATAATAGTCTTTAAGTTAACGAAAATTCAGTAGCAGGACTTAACATGCAGATTGTGTAAGTAATATGAGCGCCTTTTGACCATCACATGCGATTAGTATACAGTATTGTTTCTGAGGGTGGTCACGATTAGAAAAAATAAGCTATTTATCACATTTATTGATTGAAACAAAGAAATCAGTCCCCCAAAATCTATTTAAATACACGTATCATACTGTTTTTCCTTGTTTTTAAAAAATATGTTCTCCGAATAATTTTAAAATTGCTATAAACAAATGTTACGTAGACCAAAGCGGCTCAATATGGTTTCTGTGATTATTTTATTTTGTACTGATTCCCCAACAGAAATTTTAAGTGTTCAATATTTTACTTTTGTGAACTTTCCTTCATCGTGGTATTTCATGGATAGTTAGCCATTACCTAAATCTTGCATTTCTGTGACAGTATTCATCACACAGCCGAAGCATTTTGGTGTCGAGGAAGTAAGAACTGAATTCAAAAATTAGTGATGCCCTGATTTCAAAAATGTCTTTTTTTGTTGCAATTTTAGTTGTTAAGATAACTTTACCCAACCTTTTTTTTTTTTTTTTAGTAGATCTCCTATCAGACCATAACCTCTTTATCTCAAAAATGAAACTGAGGGAGAAAAGATAATAAAATCCCAAAGTTCTAAGGTGAATACTCAGTTGCTCAAGATAAACGAAATACGTGCTGAGGCTTCAAATTATATAAATCAAAAAATTAAACATTAGAAATGAAAAACACTGAGAATGTGAACATTATGTGGAGAAAAATCAAGGATTCTGTTATAAAGACAGAACTAAACTCTACAAAAGAAAGAAGAAAGACAAAAACCTTGGATGAGTCAAGAAATACTGGAAATCATGGAACGAAAAAGAAAATATAGAAACAGAAACTCAGATACATGGAGGAAAACACATGAGCATTATAGTTTATAAAAAAAAAACAGAGAATTATCAGGAAAATTACGAAAAAACACACCTAACTGATAAATTGAGAAAAACAATAAACTTATTAGTAATCCAATTGAAATAAAACAAGTGTGGACACAAGAACGGAACCAACACAAATTGATAACGAGGAAGCTACAATAATATTAAATCTAAAATTTCTCACCCAGCCCTTGATGTTCTCCACCTTGCATCTACGTCGCATATCTGCACTTCTAGCTCTGTCCCATAGTCACCATCAATTTTTCCAAGTGTTTTCATCTCTGCTGTTTATAACATTCTTTTTGTGCTTTCTGTTTCAGGTCGTGTTTGTGCCGCTTATGACATTATTGACCTGAAGACTGTTTTGTAAATTCTGTCTTTCTTTTCTTTCCCGATATTTTTATTTCTCCATTTTGTTCCATTCAGGCAACCTGCGGCTTTGTTTTCTCTATTCACTTGAACACCTGAATATGGTGACTAGATTTTTAACCTCCATCACTTGTTCTATGGTAGTTTGGAATGAAATGGTGTTGCTCACAATTGGAGAAAACAGAGAACTTTTGACTACCACGAAAAGAAGAAAGACAGCATATTTAAGGCACATACTTAGAAATAAGAAGTAAGAATTCTTGCAGCTGATTATCAAGGGTAAAAACGAAAAACTAGTCCTATAAGATGACAAATATCCTGCCTGAAAAACATTTACGACTTAACTGGGCTGGACACACAGACGCATTTAAGAAGACAGAAGATAGAGACGTATTTGCAATGGTTATACTCAACCTTCATTTGTGGAGACGGCACAAGAAGTAGAAGATATATTTGGGGAGAATCCAATATATACCTTTACTTCTTCTTCTTTAAGTACCGTCTATCAGAAGTTTTCACAGAAACTGTTTGTTTTGTTTAGCAGTAATTGAAGTTGTTCAGCAGAGCTTGCCATAATCACGGTGTCATCTGCATATCTTATGTTGTTAATAGATCTTCCGTTAATTATTATTCCTTTTCATGAATAATTTGAGAATGTAACTTATTAGTGATATTGTTCTGTATTCACTGCATTATTTAGCGTTTGTATTTTTAGGTCCTGTTTTGTATACTGAGTTAAATAAGTCTACTATAATGTCTAAGGTTTCATCATTTATGCATTTTAAGATTTCTGTAGTGATTTGATCTGGACCTAGTGCTTTACCATTTTTGCTGTTTTTAATGCCATTTTAATTTCCTCTTTTAATATCTTTTTAAAACAATATCCTCTTCTAGTTATATCTCCATCTGCTCTGTTCTATTGTCTTTGAACATTTTATTGATGTATTCTGTCCATCTCTTTAATTTGTTGTTAGTATTTAACACAAGTTTCTTATTTGCATCTTTCAGTATTCCCGGTTTTCTTTTTCTATTGTTGTGAGTTAATTCTTTAATTTTTTTATGTGTTTTAGAATATCATGTATTTTCTGGTATTCTTCTATTTCTGAGCATTGTTCTTTTACCCATTGTTCTTTCGCTTTCTTAATTCTGTATTTTATTTGTTTATCCACTTTTTTGTACATCTGATTATCTTTGTTTTTATATGCCTTTCATAGAATAGAAAAAAGGCAACACAAAGAAAGACATTTTCTGAAATGAACTTTTCCAACACCAATTTTTTTATTTTGTTGGGTTGTGTTATATTTTCAGTATATAGTTTACTTCATTCCAGATTCTGTGTGTTTAGCATTTCTTGTCGACAAACTGATAAAAATTAGATTTTAATCTTGGTACATTGAGGTTATCTTAAACTATTTAAAAATAACGTCTACATCTAAAAATAAATGCTAATCAGACAAGATTCTTTTTATTGTTTTCTCTCTTGTGTCCCATTTTATTTCAAGCACAATCAGAATCTAATTTTAGTTTTAGAACGTTTTAGAGAGTTACATTTTGTTAAAAATTTGTAAAACCTGAACAATTAACAAGAAACCTAGGTGATATCTAAATATTTGGATCAGGATCAGAAAATCTACTGGAGACTAAGGCTAAAGCGGACCCTAAGCAATATTGCAAATCTGGACCTATTTTCAGTCATGACACATACTTTGCGTTTGGTAGATTGGTTTCAATTTCAAAGGATATCTTATATGGAAATTATATAAATTAGAGATGAGATTCATGATCCCTCGACATTAGCAAAGTCCTGAATATGTTTCCAAAGGGGATATGGAAATCTCGGCCTAGTACCAGAACTTTATATTAGTTTTTAAACAATATTATATTGGTGTTTTTCTTAAATGTTTCAGGCAAAAATATGATCGAATTCTTCATCTTTACTACCAGATTTGATATTAAATCAGCACAAGAGAAGTTAGATAACTATTACACTCTTAGGTCAAGTTTAACGAAAGTATTCCAGTACGCTAATCCATCATCACACGCAATGAAGGCAGCCGTTGATTGTGCGTAAGTTGGCTTAAGATATTTTAAATTTATTTTGGTGCTTAAAAATATCCTTGTAATTCACATTTTAACCAGAAGAATCACTATTTCCTCGCACCATACATTTGTTTTATCATTTTTTTTATTTAGATACTGTTATAGAACATATTTAATTGATATTAATATTATAGTCGGTTTGCTAATGTAAATCCAGAGCTGAGTAATTACCAAGAAATGCTGGTAATTGGGTAAATACTGGTAGAGCATATTTCAACTGTAGTGGCGGAAATTTCTAGGAACAGTAAAGCCTCACCAAACAAAGCAGTGGCGTTCCAAAAAATACTTATGATTTAAATTAAATTGTTAAAGATAGGTACACACAATTTATTAAACAATGATATTAGATTATAGTTTTGGCAATATTGTACTACATTTGAATACATATTATTATCAGCGGCGGCCGGCCAGGTGAAGTAGGTGAAGATGAGGTTCACCAAAAAAATAGAATTAAATTGAGACAAATAAATAAAAATGAAAGCAACATTATTATACCTAAATTCTGAAATAAATTATTTATTCTCTATTAATTAATCCAAAAATTAAAAAAGGCAACTAGCTTTACAAGCGGTAGGTACTTGACGGTCAAGTCCTTACCTGTGTCACTAGCCGTGTACGATTCAGGAATAGGTGAATATCATTTTTTAAATGTGGAATCCATCTGCACAAGCGTTCACGGTTGCCATGGCAACGTGACGTCAACATATCCTTAGTGCTGGCTGAGAAAACTGGCGAGTACAGTTCCGTCTAAAAATTCATTATCCGTCTTCACTACCACTGTTGGATGTGTATTTGGTATTCCTATTTTTCGGAAATTTCTCTCAGCGACAATGTTTTGAAATTTAGTCTATTATATAGATATTTTTATATAGTATTTATTAGTTTAGTTTAGTCACAGTATTAATTTTATTTGTTTAGAGCACTTTATTAATACATTTATCTGTGGTTTGTTTCGGATTTCGGATATAAAGTGTTCTCGTGGATTTCGTTTGGACAAAAATAATTTTAGACAGACATGAATCCAATTAATGACTAGGTTTGTAATATATTAGAGACTCCGTTTAGGCATTGTAAAAATAAAGATAAAAGGGATGTTCTTTTACATGATCGACCAACCAGTATTTTAAACATCTGCGTCTGATCCAGTGTGGTCGGCTGCAATCAGCATCTGACCCAGAGTGGGCGGCTGAATCGAAACTCACCAACCCGGTTTAGCAGGCGTGGTGTTTAATCGCCAAAAAACCCTCAATGAAATGTCAAGGTTCAGAACTAAAATACCCCAGGCAAGCAGAACGAATCGTATCTAGTATAAGTACCCTAAAAAACTGTTTTCAAGTTATTAGGGCCCTAAACTCTATTCATTTTTTTAACTAATTTTTAATGAGATTTGGGCGCGAAGTAGGTGCCAAAACTCCTTTTGGCTTCGGCAAGCTTTCCTCACCTTCACCACTTTTTTACCCAGTATTACAAACAAAAAGTTTGATATTTATAAAACAATCAGTGTACAATCAAACTCCATTTATTATTTGAGTGAGTAATAATTTTGTAATTAGTGCGATTTTAAATAATTTAATTTGTTTAATATTGCAACGCCACTGCATGGGACTGATTATAGATAGTCTATTGCCTGCGCGATTAACTGAAATAAGCTGTATCATCTGTAAAATAAATACGGTACCATAAAGGATCTGTTAATAATCTAATACTGTACATTTTTTCTCTTTAGTTTCCTATTGTATAACATTACCAATGGACCTTCTATATCTTCTATTTTAGGTACCTAGTGCCTCTACCAAACCTCGTTAATGATAAAAACGGAGTCATTGTTATAAGAGAGCTACCACATGTACCATCTGGTTTCGACGGGAATTGGTGGTTAGGAGCCGTTATGAACATTTTCGAAGTTAGAATGCAGGAAGGGGCGCATACTACTGGAAATATTTTGCTGTATGACCACCAGCATCTCTGTATGAAACACGTTTTTCACGTTACACCGACATTTATCATGAATCTTATTAAACTTTCAGAGGTAAGAACTGGAATGATGTCAAGTAATACTCTAAAACTAATTAGAGAATAATATTGACTAAAGTCGGTTTTTATTTTTAGCAAGTATTAGACAACAATATCATAGAGTGGCATTTTATTAATAGTCCCCCAATTATAGAGGTAATATTGAAGGTTTGTAAAGCATTTATGAAACCAGACCTTTACTCCAGGGTAAGTGAATCTTATTTTGGCACCGTTGCGTCATAGTATTTTTAATATAATTAATTACTTTCTTCAAATTTTTTAAATCTTGTCAGAGTGTTATTGAGATTTTGTTGCTCGAAGTAAGAATTCGACTTTTCTTGTAATAATACTGCGGAACAAATGAATATTCTTAATATTTTTCGTTTATTTCTTCACATTTTTTGTTGTACATTTCATCTTTACTTTTGGTAACAGTTTTCTTAACTTCTCTAGTCCAGTAAGTGTATGTTCTCCAGTCTTTTGGATTTCTGTTTGTAGCCAGATTTGATATGCTTTCTTTTTGATATCTACCAACTCTCTTATTTCTTGTAACCACCACTGCGAATCTTGGTTTTGGACATTTTCCTTATATCCTATGATATAAGGAAAATGTTCAATGCTCTTTTGCTGCATTACGTACAAAACCTTTTATTTGGCAGTATAGTTCTCCCACCGTCTAGTTTTCTTTGCTAATATTTTATAGTTTTGTAGCCAATCTAAGTTTGTACAAAAATTGGCTGAGCATTTAAATCTCCCAAAAATAATTTCTCCTTGTTTTTCTTAATTCTATCTAATACGTTCAGTAGATTATCGCATTTTTTTTTTAATTTCTGTAGCAGCATCTTCGTTGGGAACATAAACCCCTACGATATCTATGTTATGGCCATTTTTTGTCAGCTCTACCTTTATAATTTTTTCGTCAACTTCTTGAGATTTTACATATTTTAGTAATTTATTGCGAATGAGTACAGCTACACTCCGTTTGGATCTACTAGTCTTCGGTACAGCACTGTAAATTTGCATATAGTTACAGACTTTTTCGTTAGTTTTACCATTTTTCTTCGTTTTCGTTAGTCTACAGATTTAGGTTTCCATTTTTTCAAGTTCCAATAACACTTCCTTTTGTTTATTTCTGATACCTTATAGTAGCCAACCCTCATTCTTGAATGACCAGAACTTTTATTTGGGATTTTTTTTCCGTAGCCGACCTGTTCCAGTTTTTCTATCTATCTATCTAATTAGCCTTCTTGGGTCCATCTTTGAACATAGGCCTCCCAAATCCTTTTCCATTCTTCTCTGTCTGTCGCTACAGTCATCCACCTAGAGCTCACGTGCTTCTTGATATCATCTGCCCATTTGGGGGCTTCCTCACTTTTGTTTTCTCTCTTATCCACTCGTTTCTCTTTTTATCCATTAGACTTATGTCCAACATTTGTCTTTCCTTTGCTCTTTGGGGTTTTATGATTTTTTCCATGTTTGCTTTATGTTATTTAAAAATTATTTAAATGATATGATTATGATTCTATCACACTTTTTAATTCTCTTATCTCAGGGTTATATTCGTGCTTCAATATCTATGCTTTACATGTGAAAGGTAAGGTCCAAAGAATACCGGAATAATAAAAAAAACATATATGATATAACATTATATATTGAAATAAAAATAATGAAATAACATTCACACTCAAATGTTTTCAATAAACAATATCTCATATAATGATTCTTAAAATTTTGTTCTACGTACGTGAACCTTCAAAATTAATGATACAAAAAATATTAGTTAAAATCTCAAAATCCCAATTATTATTCTAAATCTCCTAATCAAAATATTTATATCTTTTCTAAAGTAATTGTAAAAATTGTGTTATCAATAAAAGAAAAAACTGCAGAAAAACAAAACTATCTCTCTCTGATGATGAGTGGTCCAAATCCTTGTTCCTTGTAGCCTATACTATCTATTCTTAGCAGCTCCCTAGGTAATCAGCAATCTTACAACAAATTGTTGCAAGTTTATCGTCCTTAATGATCTCCTTCAAATGCACGAATCGTTCAAATTATGCTATCCTCTTCTCCTCTCGATAAACTGAATCTCTCGTTGGCCTGAGTGAAAAATGACTCTTGGAATATCTTCTCTTTACGATAAACTGAATTTCTCGTTGGCCTGAACAGTGACTCTTGGAATATAAGTAGAAAAATATGACTTACAATCTTTTACTGGATCAGCTTCTGTCAGATACACTAACTACACGAAAACTCACAAACTTTCACTGATCCTACTTCCTACCTCTGGGAAACTACCCGAGAACAACGGCCGTTCGCCTTGCACCCTTGGAAACCAACTGACTATCTTTTTTTTTCAAAAACTAACTAAAGTCTCATTCTCAAACCAACCATCCCACCTTTTTCAATCTCATCCAATCAAAACGCGTCATATATCTCCCATTTCTTCATTTCGATAACACAAACAAATTTTTACCTAATTCTTCTATTTTATCGGTTATCAATACAATGTCATCGGCGTACCTTAGATGGTTTAAGCATTGTCCACAAATTTTTATACCTTTTTCTTCCCATTTTAAACTTTTAAAAATATTTTCCAGAGCCTGATTTGAAAAGTTTCGGTGATATTGTGTCACCCTGTCTCACGCCTCTATTTATTTGTATTGAGTTTGTTCCTTCATATACTTTAATAGTTGTTTTGGCTTCCTTATATACATTGGCTATTAGTTCCGTATATCTGTGGTCAATTCTGCTGTTAATCAAAGAACTTTTCACTGTCCAATGTTCTTTATTTGCCCATAATTTAAGTATAAATATAGTCGTACAGTTGTCTTCATTTACCTAAGTAATACTCCAAATAAACTGCCATTCTTCTTTCAGTTAAGATACCATCAGAAGATAGACACTTTAACCGATTATATTCCACACGAGGTGTTACCGAAGGATTTCGGAGGCAAGGAAAGACCTTTAGATGAACTAAGAGGTAAGAACTACATTTAAATCTTAATTTTTTAACTTAACTTGTTAAAGTGACAATATTTAACAATAAACACATAAGAAGAAATCAGCTTTCGTCAAAACGAAAAAAATCTTTAACAGGCACGATATAAAATTGTAAATAAAAATTCGTTTACTAAAATGCTAAGTATTCTCCGTTCTTTTATATGGCGTGGAGTCATGGACCTTAACTGAAGCATCACTAAAGAGATTCGATGTGGTGCTATAGACGCATGTTGAGGATTTCCTGAATAGACAGAGTTGCCAATGAAGAAGTACTACATAGAATGGGTAAAGAGCGCAAACTAGTCGTAACCATAAAACGTCGCAAACTCGAATACCTGGGCCATATAATGCTCAATGAACAACGATATGACCTACTTCGGACTATACTTCAAGGTAAAGTGCATGGGAAAAGAAGTCCCTGACGAAGAAGAATATCCTGGCTGCATAACCTGCGAAAATGGTTTAACTTAACCACTACTCGACTTTTCAGGGCAGCAGTCAACAAAGTCAGAATAGCCATGTTAGTGTCCAACATCCGTAACGGATAGGCACCATAAGAAGATCCAGAATGGTCGTCGATATTCGAAACGAATAGGCACCAAAAGAATAAGAATAGTTATTGGATAATCCTTATATCTTTTTTATTGAGAGCAGTATCCATAAACGTCTGCATAAAGAGTTCTTATCTAACATTATCAAAGGTCTTTTGGTAATTGACATCCTTTCTAATCATAGCATTTATACACTGGTAACATCGTGTAAAAAATGTCTCGTGTTTCCAAGCTGTTTAGGAAGATGTTTGTTATTTGTGCAAGTTTAAGTAAGTTATCCCCTGATTTTTGGTCTCTCTTGGCTTGTAATTGATATAAAAAATTAATTACAAAATTAATATTTAAGTCCCTTAAAACCTCTTTCTTATAAAGGTCTATTCCAAGTATGATAAATAAAGCTTCGCTTATGCGCTTATGGTATCGTATGGTACATTTATTTAAAACACTACTGTACACTCTTACAATATCTTAACGTTAATTTAGTTATGATCCTCGAGATAATAATTGTTGTCTCTTTTATAATAGTCCTTGCTATATCAGCAGTCGTTCATAAATGAGTCAAGTTTGTTTTGTCAGCCGACGACAACAAGGTCGCGCTTCAACATTATGATGATTCGCACATTCCGACCGAGGCTGTTTCTTGTGTATGTCCTCGATTTGTGCTACACGTTTCTTTTAACTTATTCTTATTATTCTTCTTATTATATTATATTATTAACTTATTCTTTGTATGAATTGTAATATTTTCAGGATAATACCACACAAAAACTATATACAATTATTGTTTTCAGAACTGTGGTTAAAAAAACTCGAGGAACACCAACCATACTTTAACAGATTGGGCAGTTTAAAAGTCGACGAATCACGACGTCCTAAAGCAGAAAACGCTCCCACTGGTATCCAAGCGATGTTTAACAACATTAACAGTTTGCTCTTTAAATAAATTAGTATCTTACAGTATATTTCACGAATTTGCGTCTAATTTGGATTAGAGACGAAAGCTTTCACTTAAACGGTCCGCTCTGCTGAGAAAGTTAATAGCAAAATCTCCCATTATTTGAAGAACTGTCAAAGACAAGCTAAACTACGGTTTTACCTGATAATGCATTTTACATTTGATTAGAGAAATATACAAATATACGTGCAAAAACAGAAGAATATTACAAATGCTTTTGTTTTTAAATCGTAGTGGTAAGTATTTTTACTGATAATATAATAACAATAATACAGAATCGTTGATCAGGAACAAATTGAAGTTCTGGTTATACAAAAACGAAATGAAGTTGGAAGTAAAACCACCAAACCCAAAATGACCGTTTTATTGAGACTGAACTGGTTTGTCATGACTTGAAGCATTAGGACTTCTGTTTTATCCATTTGGGTCTCTCTGATCTGTTACGTACTTATATGTAGATTCAAAATGTATCCGAATGTGGTGCCGTCCACTACATTGTCTACATCTGTGCTGGGAGAAACATTTTGACTCCTTTGTACTGATTTCCAGAAACTTCCTACATTGCATTACACTATGGTCTCCGTTCCATATTATATAATGTATTTTTGACAATTCTAACGTTTGAAATCTTCTTTGTAGAACGGCTGCCGTTGATTTATAGGTCGGTATCTCTCTACTATCTCCAATGTGATTTTCATACAATCTCCTGGTTTCGTTATCCCATTTTGTTATAC